AAAATCTCAACAGCAGCCACAACAATGAAATAGCAAGCACATAAAATGTAATACCAAGCCAAGACAAAAGCATATCTTCCCAAGGTTTGACCAAAATTCAAATTGGTCAAAAAGTCAATGATCAATAGCTGTTGAACAGCCAGACGCTTTGCAGCCCATACCTGAAGTGTCGTTCTAGCTAGAAGATAAAACAATCATGGAAACCCTCCAGGAGGTCCATCGTAAACTCCAAATGGGGCACCGTCCCCAACAGTTTAACAAAATCTTGTACTAAATCCTTAATTACTTAAGTTAGAAGCTCACAACCTCATATCTGAATCTTCCAAGTGACTTAATGGATAAAGTTTCCAACTTTACCTATTTCGATAGCTTAATCTCTTCCAAAATCTAATCCTAACTATAAAAGAACCAAAAACGCATACATGACATAAATGGAACGCATACAAACTCATTTTTCCATTATCAATGAAGCCCAAAATTCATTTAAGTTATTCATATGGTTCTGGAGTTCTCCCAACTCCAATAACCTTAAGAAGGGACCAAGAAAGACTATAACCCAAACCAATACTAGATCTAAGCATGAAGAAACATGAGGGTTGAAGCTTTATACCTTTCCAAGGTCCAGAAGATAATGAGAGTGTAGAAATTTGGTTAAATCCTACTAACTTTAATCATAAACACCACATTCTTCTTCAAAATTACTCACAAAGACATGCCTCCTCCCACACATAATGAGAAGCCCTAGAAGTTAATGACCTTAAATAGGGCCTAAATCTCGATAAACTAGTGTTAGGCCCATCAGCTACGACATGCCACACCCAAATAGACATGCCTCCTCCCACACATCTCACGCGTCACGCCTAATGGGTTTTCACCTTTGTTTTGAACTAAATTCCAATAGTTGACAACTAGGAACATACCGAAAAACAGGCGTTGCAACTCTCTCCCCCCCACTTAACTGGAATTCGTCCTCGAATCCACCTTTGCAAGTTTCTTCATTTACTTAAAACTCATCCCTCTATAGATTTTTAAGCCCATTTACTCTTTCTTGTGTTGGCACTCTGCTCCCATTAATCCAACCATCAATGCTAAACCATTCATAACAACCCCACTCTGAGTACAACAAACAATCTAAATCCTAATGAGAACTTTCGATAATATAAACTAACTTTTGGGAGATCAATAAAATTTGTAATTTTTTTAACTTGTTACTAATAAGGTCGTGTTAATTAGTTGTATTTATTGTTTAGCTTAAATTTTTTTATTAGTTGGTTTAATTTATTGGCTTAATTAAAGTAGCTAGATTCGTTCTCTTCCAGAACCATTGTCTTAAGAACCATTGTGTTACTCTGACATCCTACACAATCAACATCATTGCCAATAGTAAGATTGAAATCATTCATGTCAACATATAAACCATCTAACATATTTTCTTGTCAACAAGAAATTCATTGTCATCATAAGCACTTGGTTCAACATTTCTCTCATTAGAATGACCAACTTTGTCCATATTATTGTCCCAATTATCCTCCCCAAATTTGTCCCTATCATTATCCCTAACATTTCCTTATTATTATCCTCATTATTGTCCCCTTTATTTGTCCCCATTAATATCCCCATTTTTCTCCAATTTCGTCTTCTTTAGCTAATTCGATAGGTATGTCATGCTTTCTAGTTCATCATCCAAGTAAGCATGGGGTGTAACACATTGTTCCTACACTTGCACATTTGAAGAACTACCAACCCCTATGTTGCTATCTTTCCAACCTTAAAACAACCTTCATGAACACAATAGAGGTTCAACAATTTCCTTTAATCAAGATTTAGGTTGAGTTAAGGACATTACATATGTATGCAATTGGGTTTTACCATATTCAATATAAACTTAAGTTAGTTTATGTTTAGAAACATATGTTCCCAAATGCTCAACATCTTGATCATTAACTAAAGCGAATAACCAAAAATCTAAATTAGAAGAACGTACTTTGAAGTGATAATACAGAGGAATACATTCATAAACATAGCCAAGATGATCCATTATGTCATCTACGTCGTCCAATAAGTCCACAAAATTTTGTTTCTCTTTGATGTACTTTATTCATGGAAACTTTATAAACTCTCTACCATGGTTTAATATAACAGAGAAAATCGTTGGATGTCTGGATGTGAAAAAGAAAAACTTTGAAATTATTTTTGATCAATCACATAGTGTATTCAAGATTATTAATAAAACTTCTAAATGCCTACCATATCGACGTCCAAAGTTGATTTCATCCATGATCGTACGAAATTGCCATGTAACAACGCCTAACAGTTGCAATTGAGGGTGTCGGCTTTTGGGTTTCCTCCGATTGTATGTTTTTTTTATGTGTGGGGTTCTTGTTTAAAAGAATGATTGTGCATTGCCTTTGTAAACCCTTGGGTCCTAAAAAAATGGCGCCGAGACCCACTCAAAATAAAGACAAAAATATCTCTAGAGTTTTTTGTAACACCTCGTTTCGAAGACAAACCCTAAGATCCAAGAATATATTTTAGGTATTATTTTGTTCTGATATATATATATATATATATATATATATATATATATATATATATATATATATTAAATAAATGAGTTTTAGTGAAAAAAGAAGAAGGGTGTAATTGGCATAAAGATTTGTCGTGGAAGGCTAAAGGGTACTTTCGGGGTTTGTAGTGTTAAGAATATATGAGCATGCAGCTTAGAATAAAACCTTTAGACTTATTTTGTAGTTGTTGGACTTAAATTGAAAGGATTTGGAGGCTTAGGGGGGTTGAATGGTAAATATTGGAGTTATATTGAAAAGTTTTGGTGGAGTAGGGACCAAACTTGTAAAAATGGGTTGAAGTTTGTAAAGAACATAGATTTAGACCTGGAGCTCCTTTCCTTTCCCACTTCAAGATGCGACGTCGGGAACCCTAACCCTAAAAGCGTCATTCTCCAGCCGCCACTATCTTTGGAACACTCTCGTTCGCCGCTGCTTGCCGACGATCGCCACCACCACAGTTCCACTACCGGTGACGCTGTGAGCAACCGGGACGACCGCCGGGGGACGACGAATGGACCATGTTTGTTGCTGCCTGGTCGTGAGCGACCGGGAATCCTCGGGTAAGGCCATATCTCTCTCTCTCTCTCTCTCTCTCTCTCTCTCTCTCTCTCTCTCTCTCTCTCTTCTCCTTCGATATTCTCGGTGGGTTGACGTCATGTACGTCGGTTGTTGATGCCGGTGACCCTATGGTAGCCGTTTCTACTTGTTCCAGCCTCCTCAACCGCCTAGTCAGTGGTTGGGAGCTGTGGTCTTGTGCCTTAGATAGATGAGTGTTGTTGTTGGAACCGTGAAGTGTTTGTGGGTGCTTGATTGGCCAGAAAACCCGAGGAGAAACCACCATGGCTACCAACCATGGTGGTTGCCGCCATATCATCTTCTTCTGTCGCCACCAGCTATCGTGAGGAGTTGGCTTCGTTCGTGAATTAGTGTGTGTAGGAATGTAGCTCATGAGCCTAATGCTATATTGTTTTCTCTTGGCCAGGAAAACGAAGGAAACTCATCACCACCACCTTCTGTCGCCGTTCCGCCACTGCTAGCCACCATCTCCGATGGCTGTGGGCTTTCGGGTGCGTTTGGATTGATGTTTGGAGTGCTTTTGGTGTTGTTTGGGCCTAAGATCATAACCACCACCACCGTGAGGTGGTGGCTGCCCCCGTTAACCACCGTCAACCACCACTGCCGAGGTAGTGGTGGGTGGTACCCGACTTGTTTGACTTTAATTAATGTAAAAACTTAACTATTGGATTAATTGGCTTGTAATTTGGTTGGAAACCCTAATTAGGGTTTAGAAAACTCTAATTTTGGAAATTTGTATTTTGGATTTGTTAGGACCCGCGTTTGGACCTTTGGATTTGGAATTTTGAATTACGCCCGACCAGATTGAATGTATTGGTATAATGAAGTGATGGACTTAATGGATTAAGTCCTTAATGGATTAAGTCCTTAAAGGGTTAAGTAGGAACACTGAACCCTAATCGTCATTTTATGTGAAACCTAATTGGGTTTGGGTTCTTGTTGGGCCATTGCTTGGACTAGGTTGCGGTGGGCCTTCGTAGGCCAAATGGGAACAAGTTTGTGGACTAAGGAAATTATTGGGCTTTAGGATAAGGCCCATTGGAAAGGCTTGGGCCCAATTTGGAAAATTGGGCCATAAGTGGGCCATAATTGGGCCTTGACGATTATGAGATATTGGGCCATCAGAATGCCAAGTGTTTGGACTAGAATAAATGGTTGGGCCTTAAGGTAAGACCATGTAGAGGTTTGGGCCCAATTTGGAAAATTGGGCCATATGTTGGGCCTTGGTTGATTATTTGGCTTTTGGGCCTTCAGAGTGTGTGTTTGGGCCTTGTGTTGGGATCAAGCTAGGTTGGGGGTAAAACAGTCTTTTACCCCAAGCATGGACTTATGGTTATGTATTGGAACCTAATTATTATTTGGGTATTGTTTTGATGTCGACAGTTCGGGAATCTATCATCCAGCAGCTAGAGTTTTACCCGCAGGACTTCGGCAGTGTGAGGCGAGTCTCCTCACCATACCAATGGGTCGAAGGCACCAAGGCCGGCCCATTATGTATTATGTGATATGCTAGTTGATTTTGTGCTATGTGGTATGCTAATTGATTATGTGGTATGTGATATGCTATTTGTCTTTGTGATACTTGCATGGAAGACCTCGGGGGTTCCCGGGGCACTTAGGTATAAGACCTTGGAGGGTTTCCACGACATCATAGGTAAACACCTTGAGGGGTTCCTGAGGCACTTAGGTGTAAGACCTTGGAGGGTTTCCACGGGATCCTAGGTAAAGACCTCGGGGGGGGGGGGGGGAGGGTCCCGAGGCACTAGAGTATAAGACCCTGGAGGGTTTCCAGGGCATCCTTAGTCAAGACCTCGGGGGGTTCCCGAGGCATTGGGCTAACACCATGTGGGGGTTCCCATGGCACCCGGAGTAAGACCCTGGAGGGTTTCCAGGGCATCCCTATATGTTTATATGCATGACTTGTGTAGTTGATACGGTTTATGTGATTATATGTGTAAGACCTTGGAGGGTTTCCACGTCATCCTTATATGTTATTATGCATGGTTTATGTGAGTGACATGGCTTATGTCATTGATATGGACTATGTGATTGATATGGTTTATGCGGTTATGTGGATTATGTGGATTATGTGGGGTATGCTCTGGGAAACTCACTAAGCTTCGTGCTTACAGTTTTGTTTATGGTTTTAGGTATCATCGGTTTGGAAAGGAAGGGTCCGGCTTGATCGCATCGCACACACTCGTGTTTCCTTAATATATGATTTTGGGCAAACTCTGATAAATGTTTTTAATTAATCATGCTTTTGGAATGTTTGCATTTAGAAGATATCTGTGTTATGACTTTAATAAAAATAAAATTTTTACTCTTGATTTTTGGGTCGTTACATTTTTTTTAACGAAGACATTTAATAACTACAGGACGGAGGGACTAAGCGTGCAATAAGTTTACAAATCGAGGATGATCCAAGTTAAAAATAGAGTTAGGGACTAGACGTCTACGCCGCTAATTATCCCAAACCACAAGGTCCATTCCTATACTTTTCTCTTTTACTAATGATCTAAATAATAAATAATAGAAGACGTCTATAAAAAAATCGAATGAAAGGCAAACTTTAAATTTTTATTTGAAACGGGATCAAAACGTTACATAAATTCTTAATAAAAACCTTGGTTGCAGAAATTGGAATTAATCGGCGATTAATCGTAGATTAATCGTTTCACGTTCTCCAACCGTCGAGGATTAGGGTATTAATCAGAAATTTAGGATTAATCGGTATTTGTGGGATTAATCGGTCAACAAAAGTAAAAATAAAAATAAATTTTTTTTTTAAAAAAGGTCAAAAAAATTTTAAAAAAATTAAAAAAATTTTCAAATATTATACCAAAATGTTCATATTTTTGTATTTTCAAATATTATACCAAAATGTTCATATTTCAAATATTATACCAAAAATTTCAAATATTATACAAAATTTTCAAAATTTCAAATATTAAACCAAAATGTTTATATTTTTGTATTTTCAAAATTTCAAATTACAAATTTTTCTTATTTTCTAATTTTGAAGTACTTGTTTTTCTTAAGATATATTAATATTTGATTAATTTTAATATTTTATTAATAATCTATGGTCCCCGATTAATCCCCGCCAAAACCGATTAATCCCTTAAACCAGTCGACGGTGGAATTGCAGCCGAATAATTTTTACAATGTTAATAAAAACCAAAATTTTAAAGGAAATCATTTTTTTGACCAAAGTTGAAAACATCAATAATGAGAACCAAAAATATAAATTACTTTGAAATAAATATAGATCGACGACTTTGCAGAGCCAACACTTTGTCTTTACAAAAACTTAATAATTCGAAGACGTCGACCAATCACGGCGAACTTGCATAGCAAATGCAAAATTGATATTAAAAGAGCTCTTGTGCATTATAAATGATTCCAACTCAACATTAACATATTCCAAAACGATGCTTTGAAAGCATATATCCATCTTCTTCAACATCTACGAGAAAAGCATCCAAAAGGGTTCTCAAAAAGAATCAAGAAAGAAAACAAATCAAAAGATGTATGCTTTCATTTACATCAATCTTAACCTGGTTCATCATAAAAATATCGAATCTTGAAGACGGGTTTCGGATTTTTTGATGTTTTTGATTTTTTTACTGCCATTACTGAAGTTTTACAATTTGTAAAAACTTGCAGGTTCAATAGTGATGTCGAATTGGGCAAGTTTGTTGGCAGCACTGATCTCATTCCAGATGCTTATCGAGCAATTACGGAAACTTCTTCCAGTTGTCAACTTCACACAACTCGTCATGGGATCAAAGTTTTGGCTTTCAGCTGTTTTCCTGATTACACATTTCGATTCCATAACAGAGAGTTCGATCTGGTTTCATCAGAAGACCATGAAATGTTCGACTTCATTTCCACAAAAGTCAACCCCAAATTCTCCATTAACGGAGCGGGTGTTGAGTTGTTTGAACAACATTTTGCTGAGCTTTTGGAGCTTCTGAATCAGGTACCATTTCTTTTGTAGCAGATTTGGAAATCAAGAGAAGCCCACTTTCTATTATTGTTATATAGTTGATATGAGAACTCAAAGTTCTTAAATTCACACATATATGTAAGTTCTCATTCGAAACTGAGCCTTTTTTCCGGTTCTTATCCATTTAATATTTGTTTTTCAGCTAATAGACAATCCTTTGGTAATCACTGGGCAGGGTATCGGAGGATACCTTGCAATTCTTTTTGCCCTACGACATCAACATGAGGTAGATGTGAAAGAATCTAACGGTTCCAAATCAGCCAAACGCCCGATTTGCATAACTTTCGGTTCCCCCATGCTTGGAAACCAACATCTCCAAGGCGCCATCTCTGAACGCCCACAATGGAAATCATCTTTCCTGAATGTGGTAGCGAAGACAGATTATCTTGCAAGTTTTTTCTCATCGAATAGTCAATACAAGCCTTTCGGTACTTTCCTTTTCTGCACAGAATCAGGAGGGCACGCAGCTTTTGAAGATCAAGAGGCGATCCTCGCAGCTCTAGATGCCATGGTGTCATCAAATGCTGGAAACATCCAAATGCACGATTATAGTAAAGAATTGGGCTCGATCAGAAAGAAGGTATTGTATCACGGGCCTTCCGAATTCAACGAATCCAACGTGACTCCGTTAAGGGCCGGAATAATATTCCAGTTTCAAGAAATCGGTGTGTTGAATGATATTTCGAATGATTTGATCACGGAAATGGAAAAGAGACAAGTGAAGATGATTAAAAGCAAGAAAAGGTATGAGCCTACGAAGAAGCTAAACGACATGAAGATAAACTTGACATACATGGAATGGTACATGAAGACCCGAAGACTGAAAGGGGGTTACTATGATATCTACAAGAATGTCAGTGACACAGACAAAGTCGAGAACAAAGATGTAATCATCAAACCGCAACGTTTCCTGGACCAGTATTGGAAGAAGACAGTTGATGAAAGCGATCTAATGCCACAAAAACAAGGTGCGAAGTTGCGTAAGCGTTGGCTCTACAATGGAACTAACTACAGAAGGATCATGGAGCCACTAAACATAGCCGATTACTACAAAAGTGGCAGAAAGAACTACATAGCAAATCGCCCAAAACACTACGAGTTGTTAGAGAAATGGTCGGAGGATGAAAAGAAAGAGAGGAAGCCAAGTGAGGTAAGAATGAAGGCTGCTAGTCTTACTGAGGATTCTTGTTTCTGGGCGCATGTAGAGGAGGCCTTGATTTCACTAACAGACTTAAAGAATGGAGATCTAAGCAGCACCACAACTGACACCGATCAGTTTGACTTTGAGGTATATCTTTTGGGTGCAATCAACGAAAAATCATTGTCACCAGATGTGTTTGTGGAAGGAAGCAGTTTAATGAAATGGTGGAGCAAGTATTACACATACAAAGGAAATTCTTGCAATCCTGAGCTTGCAAGATACATGAAGAATGGGGGCTACAAATCATATCAGTAACGCGTTAACGTCGAGTTCCAATATCATATCTATATGTTGATGGTTAAGTTGTTAGAATTAAGCACATACACGAAGTATATTAATCTTTCGTAATTACTTTAATTTACCTTTTTTGGTTTGGTTTGTAGGATAAATTTTCATGTTTGTTAGGTTGCTATTTGCTAATTGATGTATCTACGTGTGTTTACCTATGGGAGACCTTATATGGGTTGGGAACCCTATTCAAGATGACTAATATTAATAAAGACATTCCCAATATATCCGAGAGTGGAGACTACATCCCAAAAGAGATTGATCAGTCTACTATCTACTCTAATAAATAAAAATTATATCTAATATTTATTCTAATAAATAAAAGTTATTTTTGTCATTTGTCGTCGTCTTATGTACTATATCTAATATCTACTCTAATAAATAAAAATTATATCTAATATCCCTAAGAATGAAACCCTAATTTCCATTTGAATGTTTTAAGCTTGGAAATGAACCTTGAGGATGTTTTTGGTGATCTTGAAGGAAGAAGAGCTCTTAGAAGTTGCATTGGTGTGGTTGAAGCTTGTGGATCCAGAATCATCACCAACTTGCAAAGCTTTTGGAGGTATAAAGCTCTTAACTTGATGGTTCATTTTGATAGATCTAGTTAGGGCTTGATTTTGTGCTTTTTATGGTCCTTTAAGTCATCGCATGAGAGTATGAGCTACTCCAGAAGCTAAGGATGGTAGATCATAGCATATTTGAGGTCCCTTGTGCATAAAAATGAAAACTTGACGTGTTATGTTCGACCATGCATGAGTTAGGGTTCTTGTTATGGGTCTTAATGGTTAAAAACAAGTGTTGGACCCCATTAAGTCATGCGAAACAAAAAAAGTTGCCAGCTTTACATGTTAGGAACTTAAAAATGATGTAGATATGAGGTTTGGACGTTAAGGTCTTAAGGGATTAAGACCCTTGATTATCCTTTGGGACTCTGGCCAGTACATCGGGGTGTACTCCTTAGTACGGTGTGCGTACTGGGTCAGCCACTCGTTTCTTGGTCAATGTCGAGTATGCGAGGTGTACGTATGGGGTACGTAGGGCATACTCCATGTAGCGGGCCTTCTTCGGTTTTGGGCCCTTTTGGACTTGGACTTCTCTTGAGCTTTGAGCCTTATGTGTGTTCGGCCATTTGTAGGCCTTGGGCCACTATAGGGTTATTGGGCCAAGCTAGTCGGGCCTTGTAAGGAAAATGTAAAATATTCTTTTACCCTATAGGTTGAGGATGATGAGTTAGGTCCCTAGTTATAGTTTATGACCTAATTATTAATTAGGGTATTATTTGATGATATTTAGTGCAGAGATTTCCCTGGTTAGCAATCTGAACATTTATCTGGTTGTTTCACCAGTTTGAGGTGAGTCTCCTCCCAGTGTTTACCGGGTCGCAGACACCAAAGCCAGCCCTTAGATTATAGTTACTAGTTTGCTAGCTGTCTGTGTAACTCTTGCTTGTATTGTATGTGATTGTATGTATACCGGGCGGGGCCTGATGTGTGTATGTATGTATGTGTGCATGATATGTATGGTATGAGGTATTTTGGGAAACTCACTAAGCTTCGTGCTTATGGTTTTCAGTTTATGTTTCAGGTACTTCCAGATCGAAGAGAAAGGACTCGGGGTGACCGACTTGCACACACCATGATTTCCGCCTTATTTGACTCTGATGTATTTTGGATGATTGATTGATATACTCTGATTTTCCTTCATGGTTTTTATAAACATGTTTGGTGATGGTTTCATTAATATAGAAATGAAATTTTTGGTTATAAGTTTTGGGATGTTACAAGTTCGTATCAGAGCCTTGGTTTGAGAGATTCGGGCATACTCTTAGGTATGTATGAACTCAAACTGAGGGTTTAGCAGATTTTCATAAAAGAAATGTTTTATAAAAGAGTTTTCTAATAAAATAAAGGGGTGTGGTGCATGCAATCAAAAGAACTCAATTAAGTTTTCCCAAAATACCAATACATGTTTCGTGTTATACTATGAATTGTGAATCTGTGGATCACATGCTAGATTAGGGCTAAGGATCTGCTCAGGTTTGCATGATAGAACGATAGGAGGGATGCCTATATATACCTATCTCATGAGCTTATAGACTTGCATGTTCGTACTGATCAGTCAGTGATAGGATGGCATGTTTAGGTTTTGCCTTGATTCTGATTACTCAATGCTCGGAGACTGCTTGCTTTGTGCTTTTAGGAGTTCCCATTAACATCAGCTAACTAGTAAGCGAATATGCTAAATTACATATTATCGAGACTAGATAAATTTAGAAGATTAGGTTTTAACTCTATTGTGTAGCTCTAGTCTGAGTCCAACCTTTGTAGTGTGAGACCTTTCATTCGAATAATTATCTGGTGTTGGTGATATGTAATAGTATTCAGGAGCTAGTTAGAGGGTGTTAAGGGAGTTCCTTCTGCAGCTGATGGCTAAGATTGGTGGGGTGGTAGCCCTAGGAAAACCTAGGAAGAGATTCGGTGTTGTGAACATTGTCTTGATTGAGGATTATACGGATAGATAAGGGAGTGACTTGGAGGATTCGGGGCAATCCTTAGGAAAAGTACGGATAGATGTGGAAGGTAGTATGTGTTGGATTTTGAGCATTCTAACACTCCTATGGTGTACATGCAACCCTATAAACCTTGGATCTATGTTTTCTCTATTATACATGCAAATATTAACTATTCCAAGGTTTCATCCTAACTAGCATATTATGAAGCACCTATACTACAAAGTTCTAGTTAGATGACATACCTTTTGATGTAGCTTGATGTCTTCAAGCTTTAAGAGCTTAGCCCCAATAGTGTGGAAGCCTCAAATGGAATCACAAATCACCAAAACACATTGGAAGAACTTGAGAGAATATGTATGCACACTAAAATCGGTCCACTCTTATTTTCACACACTTGTGCCAATTTTATGAGCCAAGGATCCCTTTATATATTATGGAGGATTAGGGTTACATCCATGTAAACCCTAATACCCATGACCTTTCATTTACATAGGATCCATGGGTTAAAAGCTCCATGGACCATCCATGAAAGCTTAGCCCAACCTAAATGAACTTGGCCCATTCCATATATATAAGAGTCCATATTTAATTAGTTCTTTTTGATCACTTAATTAATTCTAAATTAATTCTTGATCAATACTAATTAAATAATATGATTCCATATTAATATATTAGAACTTATAATATATTAATATAAATCATAAATATACTATTCTCAAAAGACTATCCATATAAATTGTGTCGGTGAAGTGCAACCCAAATGGACCATGTCGGGTCGGGTCAAGTACATACCAAATATAGTTATGGACTTAGACATTAATCCAACAGTCTCCCACTTGGATAAGTCTAAAACTATTATTGAGTATGACTTCAAAACCTAACTGGCAATCGTAGCTCTTAAAGCCGCTGTCGAACTCTGACCTTGTCAATGACTTGTCCATTACATAAGGGATCATATATTCCTCCATGCTAGATATCATATGGACTGAGACATGGATTATAATCATTCTCTCTGTCCATTTGTTGTTTCCCGATTTTCGATTTATGATGACTGACTGATTGAACAAATTAAATCAGTCCTGGCTTGGCCAAGCACTCACATGTGTCATCGCTAAATCATCGAGGGGCCCACAGATATCGCTTTTATCCCGAAGGTAAAAGGAATGGATAAACGTCGACTCATATGGCTTGTTCTACTACTTGTTGAATCATACACAAAGGCACGTTTTATAACATCGAGTTACCAAATGCGTTTTCGTGCAATCAATGTATAACCAACTCATAGTAACAACTCATATCTCTAGGTTTGAAGAATATAAGATATTATCGTCTCATGATCACTCGTGATAAAATCCATGAAGTGATTCAAATGAGCGTGGGTTGAATCCAATACTCAGAACTTATGAGCACTCATGAGTGTTGTAGCACCACTTTGTCCACCAACTTGGACCTCTACAAACCAACCCATGACAGTCTTGATTCATATCTACTTCCAACATATGACCGACTGTGGATGGTTTGAATAACTTAATCATTCAGGAAGAGCGACTTAGTTATTCTGGAAGTCAAAACATGCAAAGTGAAACACAAGAATAAATGAATCAAATATGGTATCAAACCCTATGAATATAAATAAACACTTTTATTTATCACCATACTGATTACTCATTATTCATTGTTTCGGTTTTATCAACTTTATACTTGAATTAAAAACACTAGTTGTCCCATGCTCCAAGCATGTACACTATGTTTTTCTTAAACAATAGCTTTGCCATACACCAAGTATGCACTCTATGTTTGTCTATGATCCTTACTTTGTGAAATAAACCAATTGAACATAATTTCAATGATTCTAATTTCACACTCCCAAATCCTTATCGAAAAATGTGAGAATTTCAAATTCCTATCATTTATCGAAATCTGTTTAGATTTTAAACTTATATGCACCGACCCTCCTGTAATGAATATGTACAAAGTCACAAAGACTTGTCAACAGTCATTATAAGGTATTCCAATGGAGTTCAACTCCATGGAAACTAAGTCTCATATTCAAAGTACATTGCTTTGAACATGCTTCTTGCATAAAGTTTTTCTAATCTTACACAGATAACTTCCACCTATGGAGACAACTCCATATTCTCATTTTGACTATCACTTCTGAACAAGAGATGCCTTATTTTCAGAATATGTCAATATGGTCCTTCCAAAATTAGCACTATACTTCCAACTGTCCCTGAGCAACCAATCTTTGGTAAACCTCAGATTGTCCTCGACAATTGCTTAATCATTTTAGTCATATCCAATTCTAGACCTTTTCCCTTCTTAATGCCTCTGGGCATTTGGAAAAATTTAGAAATGACAAATATTATAGCCCATGCAATCGATCCTGTACCCAAAGAAAATGGTACACGATTCATGATGTCTCACATAAAGTCATGATTCTAGACCAGTCTTTTGCTACAAATTTTTTTTTATTTGCCATGTTTTCAAAATTTGACTATGAAGAGGGATGCCG